AACGTCTATGACGCAAGTATAACAACATCAGAATACGTTGTCGCCGGTCCATAACTTGCACTAAACTAAGTACATTCCTGTTGCCAGCCGTGCCGCATTGACCTCACGTGATGTGTGAAAAGGCGCCAAATCGTAAACGGCAAGAGCAATAAAACCGGTCCGGCTAAAATCCGTGTCGTCTGAAAGAGGCCTAAGAGAAATAGTATTCTCATTATTTGCAAGGGTGGTAGTATATTCAGCATTTACAAATGTAGAACGACTGGAGCTTTTTCTATTAACTGGAGGAAATTTATCGTCTGCAGGCTAAAAAACGAATAATTTTATTACGAATCACAAATTTTTAATTTTAAGTTACCTTTATGTTTTCAATTTCATTATCACAATCATCTGTTTCGTTTGACAATGCTTGATCCGTATCATCTTCTAGATCTGGAATTTCAAGATCGATATCTTCTGTAGACTTTCCTCGGTATTCACCTATCGATTTCTTTTCCATGAGTAGTAACAGTTTAGACACCTTTGCTATTTGAAGTTTATCATCAGTTTTTCTATAGTAATTTAAATGCGTGGCTTTTTCATGTCCGAGATGTGTTGACAGTTGTTCCAGGTCATTATTTTCCATAGATATAATTTGTGCAATGGTTGCAATGTGTTTCCGTAAACATGTGGCTGTTATTGCTTCGGGATTAGAAACGTTGCAAGCAGAGGCAATTTTTTTTAAAATTTTATATGACCATAAAAAACTATCTTTGGTATTTGGGTTAGCGAAGAGGTAAGGATTTTTTGGTGCCACTAATTTCCTTGATTTTAAAAGTATTTCTGTGTGACCTTGCATGCCTTTCGTAAAAATTACCGGTACGGCTCTACCTTTCTTTCCACGAATAACAAATCGTTTTATATTTTTAACTAAAACCTTTTCAACTGTTGTTAGTGATTGATAAATATCTTGCATACCAGGTTGATCCGTTTTTCTCAAATAGTCTTCGATTGTAATTCGTTGTGCTTCACCGGAACGTTTTCTATTCAAAAGTATAACATGGCCCAAGAGAGCTTCAGTTAAATTTCGAAGGTATAAAACATTATCTGGAGTGATTTCTAATTTTTTTGACCATTTCTCTTCCTCTAAAACAACAAATTCATTCATTTTTATCACATCCTCCGTTAGTGGTAACATGCTGCCCTTTTTCCAGCTCTTTGCAGATAAATCCTTATATGCATTTGTTGAAACATAAAACCGAAATTGGGTGTCTATCATTTGCCTCAGTGCAGTTATTTCTTTTTGTTTTACCTCATCACTCCCTTTAGTAGCAATAAATATGGCAGTATCACAGACCTGTTTAAGTACTGTTCCCCACCTTAGAGCAAGAGAAGGGCTTTTAAATGTGTCTTTGTATTCATTATAGCCCGAAATTTGATTAGCTGCGCTTACTAGTTGGTCAAAATAACAGGGTTTTAGAAAATCCATAAGACTCAATTTTGGTTCTTCATTTCGTAATATCTTAAGGAATCTGGCCAATTCTCGCATGCGTTGGGATACCGTGTTAATCAAATGTTTCTCTTTGTGACACCTAAAATATATTTGACCATAACATTTAATTAAGAAGTCGTTTATAACTATTTTGGTAATGTCATCAGATTTCATATGAGGAAATATTTTTAACTTTAAATCTTCAAAATCAGTGTTGCCAGATAAATAAAGAAGTGTTAATCCATTCGCTTGAGCATGTTTTGAATTTGCCTCTTGTCCCTTTTTGGGACACCTTTTTATGTGTTTATGAAGATATGTCCTTGTAAAAAAACCTTTACATTCAGAACAAGGCAAATAATCAGATGATTTTTTTTTAAGTATAGCCCGAGGTCTTCTTACTGGATTTATAACACCCTCTCTTCCAAATGCATTAATGAAGTTTCCTAAAATATAGAATCTACAGGTTTACAAATTGTATGATATTTTTTTCTCTATTTATTTGGGTACTTTCCCCACATATGAAAAACATTTTTAAAATATATTAAATCAATCATTACTTCAAAAGGATTAATATTATTTTTTACAGAAAATTTTTGCCAAAAATATCATACTGGAATACAGATAAATAAAAATAAAAAACACATCACTACTCTTTTTGTGCAAGGATCGATTTAATATTTAATATATTTTTAAAATGCTTTTTCTAAATTTTCCTCAGGAGGTAAATTACTCAAATAGAGAAAAACCAAAAAACTAAAATTGTGATTTACATAATTTTGGACAATATGTTATATGACATAAAAATACATATTTCTCTCATTTGATATTATTATTAAGTGCCATTATACAGTGCCATTAGTGATTGGTGCAGTAATAATTTATACAGATTATGGTAATTAAAAAACTAATACTTAAAAAAAACTAATGTAGATTTAAAAAAATATTTTGTATCCAATTTTTAAAATAATAATTAATATTATGAAAAACTTCAAACAATATATTCCTTGTTAAAATATAAGGGGAATTTTCTAATAAATATATTTCCAAAAACATCTGTGGGACTTACATCTCTTTAATAGTTTTATCTATGATCTTCAAAAAGTGTTGAACATTGCAATCCCTTATGGCTTCTGTTGTAACTTTCAAAAATTTGCAATTCAAAATGCCTTTTAAAAACATAGTTCACTTTTTTCTTTTTTTAATTTTAATTTTCTGAATTTTAACCTAGCTTTTAGAGATGTAACTCCCTTTGTAGACGTATTTGGAAATAAGTTTATACAGACACCTTCCCTTTTCGGCAAGGAATTACTCGACATTTTTCTCAATGTTAAAGAATCATCTTATATAATGTCTGGTTTAAAAATGTTTTACAGGGTGACCCAAATTTTAACCACGAGCAGTGTGTAGAGTAAATAAAAATACAATACAAATTTTTCAGATTTTACAATTAAATGCTGCAGTTTGATTTCAGCAGTAGCTTAATTCATACAGTGTGGATAAAAGTAGTGACCAGACAGGTCGATTTTTAAATTCAATTTACCATCTTTTGAAATAATTAAATGATCAGTAATTTTTTCCAATGGCTATCGCAATTTTTTTTTTTTTTGAAAGGAGTTACGGTAGCATATAACTATAAAATTTGAAAGCAATTGGTTTGTTTCTGAAATAGAGTTGAAAAAACATGTATTTTTAATAACTTTAATTGTATATTAAAAGTATAGTAAGATTTTTTAAAACAAGTTTTTATAGCAAAGTGGTTGTATTTTTACTTCCTCTACAGAGTCCTTAATATTCTTAATTAAAATCTGCGACGCCCTGTATGTATTTCTGTATAGGTATTTAATTTACATTACGTATGTATTGGAGTTAACTGACTGAATTAAACATACTTTGTAGAATATTCATTACTAGAACATTGTTCTTTTAATTTTTAACTATAATAATATAGTACACACCTTTCTTACGAATTTCATCTAGTAAAATTTTTCGTTCTTTAGAGCCCTTTTTAAGTGACATTATTTTGATCACTTCGAATTCATTCTTATGGATGCGAACTAAATGTCGTGCAAAATTAGTGACAGTCTTTTCGCAATATATACAATGCTCTCTTTTATCTCTCTTAAGATGTCCCTCTAAATTTTTACTTGAAGATTTTACATCTCCGCTTTCATTAAATGCATCTAGGTTTTTCAATATTTTGTTATCATTCTTTTTGGCATTAATCAATGCATTAGTACTGATTTGGTTTGAATCACTAAATAAACCTACAACATTGAAAACTAAAATAAATTTATAAACAAGTCAAATTTTCTATTTGTCAGGTTTTTACATAAAGAAAAAGGAATACATTTGAAATATTATAAATACAAACTTACCTAAATCTGTGTTACACGAAGAAACTGATGGTGGAATATAATCTGATCCTGAACTCTCAAGAAACTCACTTTCTAAACTATTTCGGTCATCGGTTGATTCAGCTTTGATATTATTTAAGGAATTACCTCCATTTTGAAATGTTGGCCCTGGGAAAAAAATACGGTTTAAGAATTATTTAGGAAAAAAATGCGGTTTAAGAATTATTTAAAAATTGTTGGACCCACATCAAAAACTGTAATTTACAATATTACATTGTTCCAAATATGAAACAAAACATAGACATGGAGTGTGAGTTAAAAAAAAAATTTCTATTTTCTAATTTTTGTTGTTTTTATGTAAAGAAAAGTTATTCAACGAAACACAGTATTTGAAATATTATAAATATCAACTTACCTAAATCTGTGTTACCCGAAGAAATTGATGGTGGAATATAATCTGATCCTGAACTCTCAAGAAATTCACTTTCTAAATTATTCCGGTCATCGGTTGATTCAGCTTTGTTATTATTTAAAGAATTACCTCCATTTTGAAATGTTGGCCCTGGGGAAAAAAATGCAGTTTAACAATTATTTAAAAATTGTTGAACCTACAACATCGAAAACTGTAATTTACAATATTACTTTGTTCCAAAAATGAGACAAAACATAGACATGGAGTCTTAAGTTAAAGCAAAATTTTTCTATTTTCTAATTTTTGTTAAGTTTTTACATAAAGAAAAGTTATTTAACGGAACACAATAATATTTGAAATATTATATCAACTTCTAAATCTGTGTTACATGAAGAAACTGATGGAATATAATCTGATTCTGAACTCTTAAGAAGACTCTTAAAGTCATTTGTTAACTCAGCTTTATTATTATTTACGTAACTATTTCTATATTCAAAATTTTCCATTGTCGGTCCTAGGAAAAAATGCAGTTTAATTATTTAAAAATTATTGAACTTACAACTTACCTAAATCTGCGCGACATGAAGGAATAGATGGTGGAATATAATATAAGCCTAAATTTTCAGGAGGCTCATTTCCTAAACTATTTCGGTCATATGTTGACTCACGCTTATTATTTATGTAATTATCTCTAATTTGAAAACTTTTTAGTGCTGGTTCTAGGGAAAAATGCAGTTTAAGAATTATTTAAAAATTGTTGAATCTACTTAGAACTATTATTATTAATACAATACCTACCTAATAAAGCCAATTTTTTTACTGTTACAGAACGAACTTCAGTAGAAGTCTCGTAGGCTTCAAAATTCTTTCGAGCCATGTTATGATTATGAATATTCCCATCAGAGGAATATCTTGTTTTTGATGTTCTTTCGTCATTTTGTTGAGAAAGTATGTTTAGAATACGTTTTCCTCTTGAAAGCATGGTGACGATCTTCGAAATTTTTGTCAAAAT